GACTGTTGAGGGTTCAGCCTCCTGATGAGTCGGTGAAACTCCGACGAAACAGTTTGTCACAGCCCCTCGTTTGTTGTCCTCTTCTCCCTCTCTGCCTACGGTTTACCGGGCAGTTCTATTTGACAATATATACTATCTGTAATTTACAATATTATTTCAATTACATGAATTTACATCTCTTGTTGACTTCTCTACCCCACACCTCCGTTTTTTTTGCTCTCAGCTCAACTATGCATCAGTCTGCAGCTTGCAGTGCTTCTGTTCACCAGACAGCATGCAGAATGACACAGAGCAGCAAACAAGTACAGGCAAGAATCAACAATGCGAGGAATTAGACCCTAGACCGCGCAGGGAAGGCCCTTCGCCGTGATGTAAATGGGCCCCTGCCTGTCCTAGGTGAAGGAGGGCCAGCAAAAATGAAGGCCGGCATGAGAAAGAGGGCCTCGGGTGGTTACCAGCGTCCAGCCTGCAGCCTTTCCTAACTAGCCGATAGGCCCAGCCCGCCAGTTGGTTACAGAGCCCGTGAATGCTATTTGACATGACCAATCCAACAACTCTATCCCAGTACGAAAGGCCCATTCGGAGATCCACAGTGAGTTCTGCAGGGCATTTTATTTCAGTTCCAAGTTCCAGAAATTCCAATTTCCAAAATCTCCAGAAGTTCCAAAAGTTCCAAGTTCTGAACAAGTGCTCTGGTGTCTAAGTGGTGTATGGTTGTGTAGTGTAGTGTAGATTTCAGCTCCAAGTTTCAAAAGTTCCAGAAGTTCCAAAAGTTGAACTTGGGATCCCAATAAGAAGGCCCATTCGGAGATCCACAGTGAGATCTGCAGGGCATTTTATTTCAGTTCCAAGTTCCAAAAGTTCCAGAAGTTCCAAGTTCCAAAAGTTCCAGAAGTTCCAAAAGTTCCAAGTTCTGAACAAGTGTTCTGGTGTCTAAGTGGTGAATGCTTGTGTAGTGTAGATTTGCACGTCTTCGTGCCTTAACGAGGGGCCCCTTGTCCTTGTACATGTCCAGGGACTGGCAGGAAGGTCAAGGCAATGGATCAGTAAACAGGTGGGGGAGAGTGTGTGGCAGAAGGTGGCCATGGCTCCTTATCGACCAAAGGGAAATTATGAGGAGGAAGTGGTCGAGGAGATGCCGAAGGTGATGGCTTGTTGCTGGGGCCCGGGAAGACCTGCTACAACTTGTGTTATGCTTGACGTCAATGGCGAAATTTCAGATGTCTTGTATTGCGGCTTCTTAGTCAAAAGAATTCGATCTCCAGTGGCCGACGAAAAGCAGGAAAAGGATCGAAAACGACTCCTGTCATTCATTCTCCGCTGGCAGCCTCAGCTAATTGCTGTTGGGGCCGCAAACATGTCAAGCAAACGGCTGAAGACAGAAATATCAGAGGTAAGTTTTTTTTTTTTTCTTTCTTATATATTCTCTTTTTTTATGGATTTCTGGTTCCTTCAACTTCCTTGCATTCATTTGCTTTTTTTTTTTTTTT